CTGAGGAGGGATTGAGTTACATAGCAAGTTTTATGGGTAATCCATTGTACTTTGATGAATTTACTCAAAACCATAACCAGTTAACATTTGCTAGAATTTGTATTGAGATAGAAGTTACTAAAGATATTCCACCCTCCTTTGTTGTAAACTAAGGATATGGAGAACCGTTCGAAATCAAAGTAGAAGTTCCTTGGAAAACCCGAAATGCGTGGAGAATGAATCCGTTCAAACCGGTAATCCGGACCGAACCAGACCGAATCGTACGATTTGGTTCGGTTCTATTAAGAATTGGTTTGGTTTCGGATTAAGAAATATGAGAACCGTAAAAACGGTTCGGTTAATGGATTTTATAAAAAAATCGCGGTTCGAACCGAACCGAACCAAATTTTAAAAGATATATACATATATATAATATCAAGTTTTATTTTTATTAATTGGTTTTTTATAATTTTAATGATATTAGGATGATATAGATATGTAATATTAAGTAATGCCTTAATATTATTAGTTTTTATCATGAGTTAAATGTAATTAGTTTGAGTAATTATTTTGCTAATATTAACAATTTGTTTTTGTAAATAGAAATTTTTGGAACCGTAAACCAAACCGAAACCGAACCGTTTTTTCGGTTTGGTTCTGGTCCGGTTTTACAAGTGTAACGGTCTGGTGTGGTTCTCAAAATCACAGAACCGTTAGGATTGGTTCGGTTCTTAGATTTTCTCAGAACCGAATCAATCCGGACCGTGTACACCCCTAGAAAGCAGTCAACAAGAACGAATTTAAAAAGAAAAAAAAAATTTGACAATCCTTATTCTCGATTGACGTAACACTAATAATGATAGGAACAAAAAAATTCAAATACAAAAAACGAAAATGTTTTGTACCTCAAAATTTTGTGGTTCAAATGGTTTAAATTTGTCAAAACGACGACGTTTTACACTCATTTACTTTCAAAACGAAAGTCGTTTTGAGTCATTTGAGTCATTTGAGCCACAAATTTTTGAACTACCTAACATTATTGTACAAAAAAATATTCAAAAAAATAGTGTGCAGCCAGATTCAAAATCTATATTATGGGACTTACACTTTTTTTCTTAATATTTTTCTGTGTTTTAATTTTTAGTCCCTAACATCACTGAAACTGGACCGGGCTTCTAGTAAGAAGGATTGACATAGTTGCAATTCGCTCGGATTTCGCCTCCGTCTTCACTGGAGTAGTCCTGAATGTTTCCAAGCTTGGCCATCGACACCGCCATCTGGGAGTAGAAAACCGGGGGCTGGGTAGCCATTGCTGTCACAAGAGGGAAAGTTCTAGAATCAGAGTAGAGAATTTGATCAGTGGGTAGGAGTCCCATGTTGTTTTCAAGGTTTTTGTAGTATTCAATATCAAAGGTCTTTGGGGTTGTGGCATCAAGGTCCACATATTCCGAGGCCCATCTGCATTTTCTCCTCAGGTAGTTCAAGTATTGTGGGTTGATTGACGGGTCGGGTTGGCCTGTTCCCTGGAAGTTGTATAGCCTGTATTGTAGTGCACTGCAGGTACTCCGTCCTATGGTGTGCATTCCTGAAAAACCATATGACCAAGTAATCATAAATACAAAAGGAACATAGAAATGGTAGGAATATATATATAGACATTAGATATTGACAATCAACATGGAATTCACATGAATAGACAAATTTTATTTAAATTTATAAGTAAAAATGGCGGATACAAAGAGGGGGCCACAGCTGTCCCAAACTTTTAAAAATTTCTCTTAGAATGTTATAAATTAGTTTTTAGGTGTTTATGATACAAAATAGTATTTTAACGTATGAAGTATAATAGATTTTACATGTGGTCTCTCCAAACTTCAACAATTCCACTTAGGTCTTATAGGGTTTTTTTTCAATGTTATCATACAAAATAGTATTTTGGTTCTTAAAAATCTAAGAAAGCTTGCTTGAACTATCCAAAATTTTCATTTAGGTCATATACCTTTTTTGGGGGTATTTGTGGATACTATTTTAGCCCCTCCCGAATTAATTTCTAGATTTGTTCTTTGTTAGTGAGACCTGCTTGTAGAAAATCTTATTTCTTTATGCACGTTTTGTATCTGATGATTTATATATATCAAGAAATTAACTTATCTATGTTATTTTAAGAAATTGGATTAGGGGTACAGGGGATAATTAATACCGCAAATTTCTTATTTCTCCTTTTATTATATATAATTAAGGAAATGTTAAGATACACACTTCACACCCCTTAAATAGTGTATACCATATGCATCTTATAACTACAGAATAAAATGGCATAACTCCATACTTTTTTTATTCATAACTAAAATCAAATAAAATAAAAAAGTCATAACTAAATATCTCAAAATAATATCATAATTGAAAATTAATCATAACTAAAGAAAAAAATAACGTAGTTAAAAATACATATGATATAAGATGTGTATAATAAAATTTTCCTTTAAGTGAGGTCATTTAAGTTCACCTTAAAAACATAAACTTAAAATCAGAGACAATTTGACAAGCTAGTTAAAAGTTAATTTTAAGTCACATCACCGCTCACATTTTTCACAAAAAAAAATTAAAAAAGTAAAAAAAAAAAAATTAAAAAATCAACTTTTAACCAACTTTCTAAATCACTCCTCAAGCGATACTTCTTAATAACATGATTCAAACAAAAAAAAGAATCAATTAGAATCAAACTAGAGTTCAACATGTGAGGAGCAAATCACTGATAAAAGGATTGAATAAACGTAAGGGTAACTCTGTAACTATAATAAGATCAAGATATCGCTTTCCCTTTCAACTCCTTTTTTGTTATTTTTAGTTGCCTCAGGAGAGTCCTCTTTCAAGGCTTTATACCAGAAATTTTCCCATTTTACTGTTGTTTTCCATGAGTATGTCTTTTCTTTTTGGTTGAAGTATAACATTTTAGTTAAATAAATTTAGAAGTTTACAGCTCTGGCTTGTGTAACGAGGTGGGTTTGTGATATTCGAGCATGTAGGGGTGGACATGGTTTAGATTGGTTTGGATTGGGATAAAATCAGAACCAATTTATTATTTATGGTTCTTGAAAAATTAAAATCAATCCAATCAGTTTAAATTGTGGAACCAATCCGTTTAAACACGGATTGGATCGGTTTAAGACCACGAATTCACATAATTAAATAAAAAAAAATATAAAACATTTAAAGCAAACAAAAGCAAATAGCATCATGTGTGAACTGACCAACAAAAACAGCAACATATAAAATAACAAAAATTCATTAAAACAATATCATTAATTCTCCAAAATGTCATCTTATGTAACAAAATTGCAAGCAAACAAACAACAACAATAGTAGACAACAACAAACAAATTCAATAGTTGTAGACATTTCCCTTTTCCACAAATTCTAAGCAAATAAATATAAATAAAATGGTTTTAGACAACAACAACAACAAACAAACAAAAGCATGAATGTAACAAACTTCATAAACAGAAGCAACAAACAAACAAAAGCATAGCAGCAACAACACATTAACAACAACAAACAAAAGTAGCAGCAGCAGCACAACAGTAGCAGTAGTAGCAAATTCCACGTCCTAGCAAGCCAAATCACTTTCCAGCAACAATGTTGACATTGGTTAGAGCTGCAAAAAAATTAATTTCAATTTAAAGTAAAAAATAACACAATACATGAATGTAATTTAAATGATAAATTGAATATTGAAATTCCATTACCTCTTTCTATATCCTCCAAATCTGCAAAGTTTTCTTCCATCTCAAGTGACAATTGTTGGAAAAATGGTGTAATATAGGCTTATTTTGGGCCAATTTTGAGCCCAAAATAGAGTGGGCCCCAAATGTCTTTTGGGGTGGGTCCGAAGAGGCGACGTGTTCCTTGCCGCATGGCAAGTCACACGGTGAAGACGGTTCGTCAAAATCATTTATGAGTGAATGAGAAATTGACGTCGTTTTCAAGTTCGAGAAATAGACATTTAAAGTTTTAAATGTGAGTTTCCTTTTAATAGGTTGTCCCACATTGAAATTTTAAGAGAGCTTTTTTGTATATATAAGTTCTGAACTACAACACTTGGGTTGGGTCCCAAGGGACACCCCAAGTTTGTAAAAGGGAGAAGTTATGGACAAAGTGAACCTTAGCCCAAACCACCGCACGCGCGCGTGCGCCGCTGTCCGACTGAGCTGAGCCGTGTCGGGTGTGGGTGGTGGGTCGGGTCAATTCTAAATATTAATTTTTTAGACAAAATTTATTTGAATTTTTCCTAATTTTCTTGAAGGAAAATTAATTTAAATTTTGTAATTTGAAATTGAAATTCAAATTGTTGTCCGACAATTGTGTCATAACAGATTTTTGAGCCCAAACTGTTTTTTCAATTTGTTCAAATCCGAACAGTTTCAGATTCAAAAAATCTGGATAGTTAACAGATCTGTTTAAATAGTAATTGCATCTGTTCATTTAATTCTTCAACAGATTTATTTTCAAACAGTTTTAAACTGTTTTAAACAGTATTATAACTGTCAAGCAGTTACGGATCTGTTACTTCCAAACATATTCAAAACCTGGCTGCAAATTTGTTTGAATTCAAAACAGCAGCTGTTCAAAATCTGTTTCATACCTGTTCACTTTTTTTTGTACCTGTTCGGACAAGACCTTTTTGCCTATAAATACCTACAGTTCCAGTAGTGTTGGGGCATCCAAAAATAGTCTAAAAATTCATTCTTTGCTGTCCTATTTTCTGCACTTTTGCATACATTCTTCATTTTAGTTTTAGAGAAAAATCAAAGAGAGTATAGAACACAAGGTTCTAGTTCGCCGGACAAATTTGTTTGGAATGCTACTACAAATTTATGAAGATCATTGCATCCTGGAAGATAGACGCCATTAGTTCGTAAGCACCGAAGCGGGGCAAATCTGTCTTAAGGACAGAGTGTCACAAACTCGACTTGGTCTTTTATTTTCCATTCGGTTTGACAAAAACAAATTCTGTAAGTTTTTATTTTATTTTGTTTGATTTAGTTTTAATTTATTTTATTTACACAGAAGATTGTTCCAATAATCTTAAGACAGATTTGAATTATTCTGTTTACAGAATTTTTTGTTTGTTTCTCTTTCTCTTTCTTCTTTTACAAAAATTATTTTCTATGGATTTACAAAATAATATTCTGGTTCGAAAAACAAATAGTGATTATATACTATTTGACAGATAGTAATAATATACTGTCTATTTTCTTTGACAACTAGTAGTAATATACTGGTGTCATTAACAATTCAGAATATTTATTTGTGAAATTTTGTCAGAAATTAATTTTGATTTTTAGAAATTATTTTCTGAATGTTCATTAATTAAAATTCTATTTCAATTTTTTAATTATTGAAGTGTTATAGAAATTTAATTTTCTGTGTGGAATTAATTTGGGTAAATAAAATTTTATTTTATTTTTAAATTAATTAAAAAATAAAAATTACATTCTTGTTTCTTTTAATTTTACAGAATTTAATTCTGTGAATTTGGTTTAATTTTTTGTATAGTATAAATTCTAATTATAATTTTGTTTTATAATTTAGAATTCATGGCTATTGAAACTAATGTCCAAACAAGTACTAGTGTGGTGGTTGCAATTGCATCAACCCCCTCTCCTATTGTGACAGTACCGGTAAATCACGATGAAAAGCCATAGAAGATCTCAGGAATTGATTTTAAAAGATGGCAACAGAAAATGTTGTTCTATCTTACAACTCTTAACCTGGCTCGTTTCCTCCGTGAGGATGCTCCTATTTTGAAAGAGGATGAAACCGACCGGCAAGTGGTTGCTGCGGTTGATGGCTGGAAACATACCGATTTCCTTTGCTGGAACTACATCTTAAACGGATTTGACAACACATTAAATAACGCTTACAGTCCTATCAAGATAGCAAATGAACTTTGGGAGTGGTTGGAGAAAAAGTATAAAATGGAAGATGCCGGCTCAAAGAAATTTGTGGTTGGCAAATTCCTAGACTTTGTAATGGTTGATTCTAAAACTGTGATCAGCTAAGTTTAAGATCTCTAACTCAGTCTGCATGACATTCATGCAGAGGGCATGTCTTTCAGTGAATCTTTCCAAGTTGCAGCCTTAATTGAGAAATTACCACAAGGTTGGAAGGATTCAAAAACTACCTTAAACACAAGCGTAAAGAAATGTCTTTAGAAGAATTAATTGTGCGTTTAAGGATTGAGGAGGACAAACGCAATTCAGAAAAGCGAGCTAGTAAGAATCCTATGAAGTTTAAGGAAAATATGGTGGAACATGCTTCAAAAACCAAGAAACGGAAGTCTTCTGGAGAAAGTTCATCACAAGGCTCTAAAGGGAGGGAAATTAAAAAGTACAAATTTAATGGCAAATGTTACATCTGTGACAAAGAGAGACATCGGGCGAAAGATTGCCGTAGCAAAGGCAAAAGCAAAAGAAGAACAAACAAGAAGCCTGCTCAAGCCTATATGACCGAAGTGGGCAATATTTCCAATGGTATAGATGATATCAATCTTTCTGCAGTTGTTTCCGAGGCAAATCTTGTCGGAAATCCTAAAAAATGGTGGGTGGACACTGGTGCTACTTGCCATATCTGTGCCGATAAAAAGATGTTCACATTTTATTCTACAGTGGACAATGGTGAACAACTTTTTATGGAAAACTCCTCAACTTCCAAAGTTGAAGGACAAGAAAAGATTGTACTCAAGATGACATCTGGAAAGGAACTCACTCCCAACAATGTACTACATGTACCGGACATTCGCAAGAATCTTGTTTCCGGATCTTTGTTGAGTAAGAATGGGTTTAGGCTAGTGTTTGAGAGTAATAAATTTGTACTTTCTAAGAATGAGATGTATGTAGGAAAATGTTACATGTCTGATGGCCTTTTCAAGATGAATGTAATGACCGTTGTACCCTCAGTTATTAATAAAAATACATCTTCTTTTTACTTGCTTGAGTTTTCAAATTTATGGCATGGTAGATTAGGACATGTTACTTATGGATCTTTGCGTAGATTAATTAATATGAAATGTTTACCTAAATTTGACATTGATTCAAATCATAAATGTGAAATTTGCGTTGAAGCAAAATTATCTAAAACTCTTTTTCATTCAATTGAAAGAAGTACGGAACCACTTGAATTAATTCATAGTGACATTTGTGATTTTAAATCAATTCAAACTAGAGGAGGAAAAAAATATTTTATCACTTTTATAGATGACTATACTAGATATAGTTATGTTTATTTAATTCGAACCAAGGATGAAGCTTTGGAAACTTTCATCCAATATAAGAATGAAGTTGAAAATCAACTTGGTAAGAAAATCAAAGAAACTTAGAAGTGATAGAGGTGGTGAATATGAATCACCTTTTGGTGAGTTTTGTAAACAACATGGAATAATTCATCAAACCACCGCTCCTTACTCACCTCAGCAAAATGGAATTGCTAAAAGGAAAAATAGGACTTTAAAAGAAATGATGAATGCCATGTTAATAAGTTCTGGATTACCTCAGAACTTGTGGGGGGAAACAATACTTTCTGCTAATTATATACTTAATAAAGTACCCCTTACCTTCTTACTCTATACTTTAATATAGGTTTAGTGTCGTAACCGGCCAGTAATCTGAGATTACCAAAGGCCTTCCTGTACAATCAAAAATAATAAGGGCTAGCGGAAGTACTATTCAAAAACACCAATAGTCCAATGAGTTGTGAATCTATATGAACAAATATTTACATGCAAAAACGTTAATTTACCCACATTCAGTACATAACTTATAACTTAACATCTTATACGTAACATATGCACATAACAAAAGTGTACTTCACGATCAAAAGCCTGACAACGACCTTCCAGGCCTAGCCCCAACTCAGATGCACACAAAACAACTCGGTAGGCTTCAAAACTGTGGCTCAGCTAAAGACCCCTTCTAGGCTTGCCGTCCAGAATGCCCACCTATACATATATATAAAAACAGTGAGCTAAAACCCAGTGAATAACATTAAAGTAAAGGGGTTAGTGAACGAATTCCAAACATAATATCCGTAAAACAAATCATATCATAATCAATCATATCAGTCTCATATCAGAACATAACGTAACGGTACATCTCACAAAACATATCACATATCGTCTTCCGACTAGAGTAATCGGTTTCAGATACCGATTAAACATATATCACCACAATAAAGTGACTAACGAGATCTCGTATCACATGTATGTCATGGACCCGCATTTACATGTCATCCCCCATGACTTGGGACTATCTATGGATGCCATAATAGATTCCAAACATAGGACATTTGTTCATATAAATGATATCATTTCAAAAATTATAACTTATCGTATAATAGTTGAAACATAGTTCATATCAACATATCTTTACAGAGATGTTACTCACAGTGGTTCTCGCAAACAGTCAATCAATCTCCAGACGTTGACCTACAAACACAAAAGTACATTACATCAACATATCTTATCATTACGCATTCATGCGGCCATCACGGCTTAGCTTTCGTTACATTGGTTCTCGTTCTTTCTTATCACAATGCTTAAACACACACACACTTGCAATTTCTTAACTTAGTACATTCCTTTCTTAGTGTGTTTCTATACCAAAAACCTCATCACTATGGCTTAATTAAGGCTTAGGAATGCCTAAGATGCAATGAGGATGCCAAATGTAGACACCCTATTTTTAACCGTCCTCAAGACTTGGACGTCATCGTTTGAACACTCGATGATC